AGAAACATTAATATCTCCATGAGGTGTCAAGCAAGAACGACGAAGTACAAGAGCCTTCCCGACATCACCACGATGATATTCAACCGATTCCGAAGTGTCGTCATAAAAAATCGGCGGCCCATCATAAGCGGGCTGCTCATCCGGGTCTTCCACGCCATCAACGAACATCGAACGACCACCGGCTGGGCGAGGGCACGCCGACTGCCGATGGCCCACCTGCCCGCAAGAAAAACACCGCAATCCACCACCCTGTCGAGGACCCACTTGCACCCCCACATTCCCGGAAGCTCCTCCCAAGCCCGCCACTACAGCTGCGCGGCGCGGTCCACGGCCATCACCCCAGTCCTCACCGTCTTGATGCTCCGCGTGCCGCCTACCGTCGCTGCCGTCTCGCTGGCCATGCAGGATGCCGAATGGGTTACCATCCGACATGGTGTCCTCGCCGCTATCATCGCCGTGCGCCGAAGGAGGCGAATGATGGCGGTGCGCTCCGCCATGCCCTCTGCCGCCATGCCCGCCGCGACCCCCACGGCCTCCGTGGTCACGGTCCGTGTGCTCACCCGCCATCAAGGTACGTACGTTCCTCGATCCAAGTCCTTCGACTCGCCGATCAACCCTCTCAATCTGGAAGCTGAGATCGTCCGTTCCTCGATCCAAGTCCTCGAGATGGGCATCTCGTCGATCGTTGTCTTTTCGTTTAGGCGGCATCGTTAATTGATCTGGTCTGCTGATACCAACTGATGCAGATTGAAGCGTATGATGGGAACAGATAAAAACTCAAGAGAACATTTTATTTCAATCGTTCAAAAGCTGCTCTCACAATGAGAGACTCCAAATATATATAATCTCCTAACCCTACTAAACAAGAAATTATACTACTACTAATAATGATAATAATAGAAATAAAAATCCCTTATTAAATAAAAACAGCAAATAAATAAATAACAGTAGCAATAGGAAAACGTCTACGCCCGAAGCCGGTCATATTTCGCCAAATACGCCAAGGGGATCTCGTGGCCATCAACTTATAAGTTATAACCACTTCATCAATCTAAAAACCAGTAAATGAACATTGGTTCTCAACTTTAATGTAAATTCTGAAATGGTTGTCTTTAGATTACAAGGTATTATTTTGTTTCTGGTTTGTTTGATGAACGGAGGTTTTCATTTTTTGTTTCTTTTTGTAATGGATATAAACAAGTGAAAGTGCCTCTAGGGAATATTGTAAATTGGTCCACTAACTTTCAATACATAGTAAAAATAATCCATTAACCAAATCATGGTTTTATGATGATTTTGCATGTGAAATATAATATTTTCTCTACTGAAGTCGTGTTGCAAAATTATGAATTTTCATAATAAAGCAAAAGTATATATATTTGAATGATGATTTACGTTATAATTCGGATTTGGTTCTTAAGGTCGTCCATTTAACGAAAGAAATATTAGATTGTAACTGAAAAGACGGAAACCCAAATAGTCTTATTAATTTTTTTGTTAGAAATTATATATATAGATAATAGTTATTATTAAAATTAATAAATTATAATTCACACTAAATAGGATATAGAAGTTACACAAGTATTAAAAATTATATTGCAAGAATTTTTCTTCAAGCTACTATTTAAAATCAATATTATTTTCTTATGCATGTCATTAAGTATTTTTTTACTTTTAAAAATTAACCAGTTGTTTTAATATTTTTTTGATAATTAATTATAGTAAAAATTAACTATATTATTCATTACAATGTATACAACCAATATAGTTAATTATAGTAAAAATTAACTATATTATTCTTTACAATGTATACAACCAATATAGTGATTCATATGTAATTCATAATTAGTTTTATACTGGTCATATGTAACTAGTACAGAGCCCGTGCGATGCACGGGGTGCACAATTTTAAGGCTATTTATCCAGACTTATAATTATATACACGAATAAAGAAAAATGTACGAGATATATATAGTACGTGACCCGTGCGAAGCACGGGATATATTTATTTGGAAAATATTATATTATAAGATGCAATATTCAATAAAAGTTTATAATACGCAAGAAAATTGTACAATGTTCAAATATCCGTGCGAAACACGAGATATATTTATTTGTTTAATGATTTGATAATATAAACAAATCTATACTTAACTTTGACAAATAAAACAAATAAATACTTTAGTAAGTATTTAATGTATATACTAAATAGGAATATATTTGGTATAATCAAATACCAAATATAATCAAATAAGTCAAAGTGTACATTTTTATTTAGTATTTGATTTTTTTATTATTAAAATCTTTTTATTATACTTATCTTTCTAAAATAAAACAAATAAATAAATTAATTAAATAAATATAATATTATAATACCAAAATAGTAATGACATTTAATGCAGTTGACTTTTCTGGATAGTAAATGTAGTAAATAGAATCTCCTTTTATATAAGTATAGATTGTATAATACGGAAATAGTAATGCAATAAATGTTGTTGACTTTTCTTTATACTAAATATGGTAAATGGTATACCTTTTAATATAAGTATAGATTCACAATTAGTTTTATCCTTCTTTACTTCTACAATTAGTTACCATAAACTATTTTATGTTTCATTTTCCTACATTACCATACATCACATTTCATTTTCTTATATATAATTCATTCATTAGTTTTTATAAATGTTTCTTCTTCTTATTTTAAGATTTTATAACTTTTTTGTTTGTATTTTATTTTTCATATATGATATATCAAATTATTTTCTATTTCACATCCATATTATATATATAAAATACAAAACAGTAATATATATCCTTATAAATAAAATTTAAATTTATTTATCAAACTAACATCAAATAAAATTATAAATTATATTATAAAGTAATAGAAATTAGTATATATATTCTTTTAAAAATGATATTTATTTCAAATTTAATTGGTATTTGTCAATCTAATAAAAATAAATAATTATTTATCTAAATTCTAAAATTACATATAAAGTTAAAAAACTGTGAAGCACGACTGATACGATACTTGATGTATTAGGCATCTAATTACAACAACAACAACAACAACAACAACAACAACATAGCCTTTTAGTCCCAAGCAAGTTGGGGTAGGCTAAAGATGAAACCCAAGAGAACCAATTGTAAGAGGAACACAAAAAGGGGCGCAAAACAAAAGAGAGATTGGAGTAAAAGAGAAAGGAGCAAAAGTCACGGTTCTGGCACGTTGATTGCTAGCCTCCAAGCGCTCCTATCCACCGCTAAATTCTTGGAGATATTCCAATCTTTAAGGTCTCTCTTAACTGACTCTTCCCAAGTGAGTTTAGGCCGACCTCTACCTCTCTTTACATCATCGACCCGCTGAAGAACTCCCCTATGCACCGTTGCATCAGGAGGCCTCCGTTGGACATGTCTGAACTACCTCAGCCGATGTTGAACCAATTTTTCCTCAATTGGAGCCATCCCGACCCTATCTCGAATATCCTCATTCTGAATTCTATCACTTCTTGTGTGCCCGCAAAACCAACGCAACATACGCATATCTGCTACACTTAGTTGTTGGACATGTTGCCTTTTTGTAGGCCAACATTCAGCACCGTATAGCATCGCCGGGCGAATCGCTGTCCTATAGAGCTTACCTTTTAGCCTTTGTGGCACCCTTTTATCACAGAGAACGCCCGAAGCTTGACGCCATTTCAACCAATCGGCTGCAATTTTATGCCTGACATCTACATCAATGCCGGAAAGTCTCCTTCTTGGCCACCACTTGCCCGTCAAGGCTAACGTCACCATCATCATGTGTAGTCATGCTGAAAGCGCACTTCATGTACTCGGTCATTGTCCTACTGAGTCTGAAGCCTTTCGACTCTAACATGTCCTTCCACAGCTCTAACTTCCTATTAACCCCTGCCCTACCCTCGCCAACTAGCACCACATCATCAACAAAGAGCATACACCAAGAGATATCACCTTGTATGTCCCTTGTGGCCTCATCCATCACCAAGACAAATAAATAAGGGCTCAATGCTGGCCCCTTGTGTAGTCCTATTAGACATCTAATTAAGTAAAAAAATTAATCTATTTTGCCTAATATTAAATAAACATATTCTACACTTATGCATATACATATCACCATATTATTTCTATTTATTTAAGATATATATTTTTGTACTTATGAAATAGTAAATAATATCGATATTTTTATATGATATAAGTAAAAAAATTCAACACGGGTTAACATTTTCATTTAATGTACGAGTGTGTAATTATTATGATTAAAAAAATATAATTTGACAATTTAATTAAAACCCAAAGTAATGTTTTATATAAAATTAAGTTATTTTAGTTTTTAAGAAAAATAAAAAATTAATATTTTTTACAAAAGCTTTCTAATTTAACATCCGTGTAATATACGGGTATTGTACTAGTGTTATAATAATTCACATATGTATAAATATTTGTCTTCTACTTCCATCATTAGACACATGTTATAACTTATACATGTATAAAAGGTTATTACCTACAACATAGTATGATAAAATTTAATTCTTGTTGAAGAAAAAACATCACATAATATAATTTCTAGTAGTGGCAACCGGAAAATCATATAATTTTTTGTGTTACAGTTATGCCACCTGTTGAGAGTTAAGTTTGAGAAGGAAACAAAAAAAATTGATACAAAAATCAGTATAAAACAATTTTATTTAATTATTTTATATTCATACTTTTAAAATAAAATTTTCAAATTTAAGGTAAAAAGTATACTTTTGAAATTATATACATAGAAAATCAATTAGTTTTGTGAGAGAATGCGCCTTCCAACATTAGCAATATAGTTTGCTCAAAAATTACAACACTCAACATCTTAATTTACATGACGCAATCTCATCGTAAACTAGTTGAAAATAATTGGGTTTTTTTCAGTTAACATCTAATAAGTCATTCACGAATAGTATTATTTGAAGATGGCGTTTAAATTTACCCATATTTTGCAGGTTGATCAACTTCTAGCACATGGAGTCAATGTCACCATATATAATGGTCAAGTAAGAGATTCTTGTCAAGAATGTTTTGATATAAAGTTCAGGAATAAAATAGTAGTGTACTATAAACAATTTTTTATTTTACTTTTTTTTTTTTAGAACTCACAAAAAGCTTCAATTGATTGGTTCTTTCGCAGTTGGACGTTATTTGTGCAACCAAGGGAACAGAGGCTTGGGTTCAAAAGCTCAAGTAAGTTGTAAAATTTTAATACATAAAGTTATGGAGGACTCCATAAGAGAGCCATTCGATGGCTCCATATAATTACTGATTACCTAATATCTGACATTCGAGAGTAAACTTCTTAAGTAATACACTTAACTCCATTTTACAATTATGTAATTTTTCATAAACAAGTAACACATGTTTTT